ATGGAGAGATTTTTTTAAAAGATACACAATTACAGCTAGATAGGAAGAATAAGTTCTAGTGTTATATACCACTGTAGAATTATTATTATAGTTAATAATAATATATAATTTCAAACAGCTAAAAGGATATTGAATATTTCCAACACAAAGAAATGATAAAATGTATGAGGTGATGGGTATTCAAATTATTCTAATCTGATTACTATACATTATAGGTATAGTAAAATCACTATATATAATTAATGTACATACATGGATATATGCAATGAAAATCACTATATATAATTAATGTACATACATGGATATATGCAATTATTATGTGTCAATTAAAAAAAAAAACCACTACACTTAATGATCCTGATGGCAGAATACCTGAACTGGAAATTACATGTTTTTCTTATACATTAAAAAAAATTGATTAAGATGATAAATTGAATATTATATGTTTTTTGCCACAATAAAAAAATCACAACCCTATAGAAAAGATGAACTAGCAATATGAACAGAGAGTTCACTGATAAAGAAATACAAATTGCTCTGAAGCAATGAAAAAATGCTCAACTTTTTTCAAAATAAGAAAAACATATTAAAACATCAAGATGAAACCATCAAGAGAGCAGGGAGACAGCCTACAGACTGGGAAAAAGTATTTGTCAACTCTAGGTCTGACAAAGGCTTAACATCCTGGATCTACAAGGAACTGAAACGTACTGAAAAGAAGAAAACAAACAACCCCATTATAAAATGGGCAAAAGATATGAACAGACACTTCGCAAAAGAAGACATCCGAGCAGCCAACAAACACATGAAGAAATGCTCAACCTCACTAATCATCAGGGAGATGCAAATCAAAACCACACTGAGATACCACCTAACTCCAATCAGAATGGCAATTATCATCAACTCAAAAAATAACAGCCGCTGGAGAGGGTGTGGTGAAAAGGGAACACTTCTACACTGTTGGTGGGAGTGTAAACTAGTGCAACCTCTGTGGAAAGCAGTGTGGCAATTCCTAAAAGCTCTAAACATCAACCTTCCATATGACCCCGCAATCCCCCTACTGGGAATATACCCTGAAGAACTCAAATCACTCGATAAAAAAGATACCTGCACACGTATGTTTATCACAGCGTTGTTCACAATAGCAAGAACCTGGAAACAACCATGCTGCCCATCAAAAGAGGACTGGATTAAAAAAATGTGGTACATATACACGATGGAATACTACGCAGCCATAAAAAAGAACAAAATCATGAATTTTGCAGCAACCTGGACGGAACTAGAGTCTATAATACTGAGTGACCTCTCACAGAAACAAAGATCCGAGTATCACATGTTCTCACTCATATAATGGACCTTGAACATCCAATGTAATACTATAAGAAAATGACTGATGGTACTGGGAAACTACGGGGGGGAAGCGGATGGGATTAACAGTAGCAGATATCTGTCTGGGGATGGGAAAATACCTCTTATCAACAGGGTGTCTGAATGAAACGTAATTGTACACCTAACCCTTAACTGTACCCCACAAAACCATAATAAAAAATATTGATTAATTAAAAAAAAAAACAAAACATCAAGAAATCATTTCCTAGTCTCAAATTGGTGAAAATTCCAAAGTTTGACAATATACTCTGTTGCAGAGACTGTGGGAAAATAGACATTTGTATACATTTTTAATAAAAACACAAAATAGTGGTACAATCACTATAGGAAGAAATTTGGCAACATATAGCAAAATTATATATGGAGTTACTTTTTGATTTAGCAATCCTCCTAGGAATTCATCCTAAAGATGTACTGCATCCTCCCCAAATGTAAAGAGAAGTACACACCAACCTATTTATTAAAACCTGTTTAACATAGCAAATGTAAAGAAACCCAAATGTTTATCCATATGGAACTGGTAAAAAAAGGGAAAAAAAGTTTATCACACAATGGAGCACTATACAGCTATAAAAAGGAATGAGGAATTTAAAAATATACAATTATAAAGTGATCCCCAAGATATATATTAAATTTAAAAAGCAGATGAGAAAAGAGAATGATATGTTACTGCTTATATCAGAATGGGAAAAATATATATACGTGTATGTATTACACATTTTAATATTTGCCTTCAGTAAGAAATGGAAGAATAAACCATAAAAAAAATCAAAGATGCAATAAAAGACAGCAAGAAGCTTTCTGAAGGACTCAGGCATTAACATGAAAAGGATCTCACTACCAAATATGGAAAAATTTGAGCATTATAACTGTAGTCGATTAAAACACATCAAAATGTTTAAGTCTGTGAATTCATAATAATAGTATTTTTAAAAAATCCTTAATAGGCCATCTTTGCAGGATGTTAAAGTGCAACTCATTAATTTCAAATAATGGAAATAATTTAACAGTTTTTCTCATATAAGTTATACCTCTGTTTAAGTAACTGAACAGGAGATATTTCTCTTTATAGAATTATTTCAGTTAATAAAAGAGGAAGAAACGCAGAATGTCGCCACCTTGCAACTTCCATTGGAGTAGTGGATTTAGGTAAAAAATCATCAGTAGATATTATGCAAAAACGGATATTATGCCTCTTTACTGAAGTGCATAATGTCATCTGTGAAGAAATTCGGCCAAAAAAAGAAATTTGAATCTGATCAGGTATCTAGGTCTATTAAAAAATCTGCAGCCGGGCTCCGTGGCTCAGCCTGTAATCCCGCGCCTTTAGGAGGCTGAGGTGAGTGGAATGCCTGAGCCCACGGGTTCGAGACCCGCCTGGGCAGCGAGACCTCATCTCTACAATAAATCAAAAAATCAGCCGGGCGTGTAGCGCATGCCTGTATTCCGGCTACTCGGAAGGCTGAGGCGGAAGGATCGCCGGAGCCCAG